ATCTGGCCCAGTGGGTGTTTTTGCCGCCGCTGCCTGTCCTGCTTAGCAGCTGACTTGTCCTGGGACCCACAGTCCGGCCCTCCAACAGTCTGAGGGACAGTGAACTGGCCCCCAGTTTAAAAAGTTTGAGGACCCCTGATCTAACCATTTCTTACCTCTTCAACAGACCCCACCTAGTAACCACCTTACTAGTTTCCCTGCGTCTCCCCTTGCCCCATCCAGTTTATTCTCAACACAGCAGCCAGACGGATCTTTTAAAGTTCCTCCCTCTGCTTATAATCCTTCAATGGCTCCCAATTCACCCAGAGTAAAAATCAAAGCCATTTTAGTCATCTTAAGACCCCACATGATATGACCCACTTACCTCTCTGACCTTATTTCCTGCTACCTAGGGTCTTTACAATTATTGTTCTTTCTGGCTGTAATGTTCAGATATCCATTCTCTCCATATTAATTAGGACTTCCCTGTATAAAACAGGGATCCTGGGCCAAGGCAGGTGGATTGCCTGAGCTTATAGGTTTGAGACCAGACTGAGCAATGACAACTACAACAAAAAAATAGCTGGCATTGTGGTGGGAGCCTGTAGTCCCAGCTACTTGGGAGGCTGAGGCAAGAGGACTGCCTAAGCCCAAGAGTTTGAGGTTGCTGTGAGCTGTGACATGACGGCACTCTACCAAGGGTGATATAGTGAGACTCTGAGATTTTCAAAAAATAAATAAAAATAAAACAGCAATCCTCTTCCCCTCATCAGCACTCCTATCCTACTTTGCATTGATTTCTCTCCGTAGCACCTGTTGCCTTTTTTTTTTGAGACAGAGTCTATGTCACCCTCAGTAGAGTGCTGTGGCATCACAGATCACAGCAACCTCAAACTCTTGGGCTTAAGTGATTCTCTTGCCCCAGCCTCCCAAGTAGCTAGGACTACAGGCACCCACCATAACACTTGGCTAATTTTTTGTTGTTATTGTTGTTGCAGTTGTCATTGCTGTTTAGCTGGCCTGGGCTGGATTAGAACCCACCACCCTGGGTGTACGTGGCAGGTACCCTACCCAATGAGCTACGGTCACTGCCCACCTGTTATGCATCTATGCTTATTGCCTGTCTACTCCAATTAGAAAACAGCTCTGTGTGTGTGTGTGTGTGTGTGTGTGTGTGATATCTGTCTCTTTTGGTCACTGCTACATCCTTACTACCTTAGTAGCAGGCACATAAATGTTGTTCAATAAATAGACAACTGAACTGCAAAGGGTTAAGAGCAGCAAAGCTCTCCTGGGCTGGCCTGGGGCAGTAACTAGAAGACTCTATTCCCATAATCTCCTTCTGTTCCAGACAGACATAGCCCATCCAGTAGTACACAGGCACTGATCTCCTTCCAGTGTTTCCAGTACACCACCATCTCCCCCATCTCTCTGTAGGCTGTTTCCTTCAACCTTTTCCCATCTCCCTATTCTTTAGGTTTCAGTTTAAGTGTCACTTCCTCAAAGAAACCTCCCAGACACCCCTGGACTAAGGGGGGGGGTCCCTTTCTTCATGCTCCCCAAGTAGCTACATTTCCATTTCCAGGAGTTGTGACACAGGAACTGGTCATTAATAAACCAAGCACCAAGCTTACTTGCCCTTTATTTTATTTATTTTTTTGTAGAGACAGAGTCTCACTTTATTGTCCTCGGTAGAGTGCGGTGGTGTCACACAGCTCACAGCAACCTCCAACTCCTGGGCTTAGGTGATTCTCTTGCCTCAGCCTCCTGAGTAGCTGGGACTACAGGCGCCTGCCACAACACCCAGCTATTTTTTTGTTGCAGTTTGGTTGGGGGTGGGAGCGGTACCCTACCCACTGAGCCACAGGTGCTGCCCTTACTTGCCCTTTATTGCCTCAGCTGGATGGCTGTGGAATAAATGAGGTAATGCATATAAACAGTTTAATAGGAGTTGGTCATAATGGGCAGCCAATATTACCAAAACTATAGTGGACACACATACATTTGTTCTTTGTGACAGAAGAGCAGCACACTACAAATAATGTTTAAGCCAGAAATCACAGCCTGAATAAATCCTAAGAAATGCTGGGGAACCACTGCTGACTATTACTGTTATAGCTGACTTATTGGTAAGCTTCTTCAAATTCTAGTAGGCTTGAGGCCAGCTGAGGTGGCTCACGCCTGTAATCCCAGCACTCTAGGAGGCTGAGGTGGGAGCTCACAGGTTTGAGGCCAGCCTAAGCAACAGCGAGACCGCATCTCTAAAAATATCCATGTGTTGTGGCAGGCACCAATAGTCCCGGCTACTTGGGAGGCTGAGGCAAGAGAATCGCTTGAGCTCAAGAGTTTGAGGTCGCTATGAAATATGATGCCATGACACTCTACTGAGGGCAACAAAGTGAGACTCTGCCTCAAAATAAATAAATAAATAAATTCTAGTACGCCTGACCAACAAACTCTTAACTAGACTCTCATAGGCTGATTGGATGGGGGTTGGGGCTTGAACCCCCTCTGGCCACATTCTGCTATCCTCATACAAAGTATGAATGGAGGACCAGAAGCATTCATTCACTTGGGAGCTTGGTAGAAATGCAAAATCTTGCCTCCTTCTCCAAGACCAATAATATTAGAATCTGCGTCTTAATGTATTTGAGAAGTACTATCCCAGATCACGGCATCTCAGAACTAAGGGCAAAAAGGATATTCATGTTTCAGGTCTTGGTTTCTAAACCAGCATATCTTCATTTTACACAGGAGGTACTTGAGATCCATCAGTCACTTTGATCAGAATCCATTCTTTAAACACCCCAGCCTCGCACACACTCTCCTCTGTCTTTAAACAGTCTTGCTTGCTCTTTTCCCATCTTTAAAACCTGGGGCTACCATGAATGACCTCTGGGCCTATTTTTCTGGCAGCCACACAGTGCTGGACAGCAGGTAGTGTCTGGGAAAAAGTTGGGTCACAGCAAGGTGAAGGAGGGGCCTTCTCAGGAACAGGGTGGGAGGCACCTAGGTACAACCTGAGCTGGGGCAGGGAGGTGGCTTCAGAGTACCTGTTTGCCAGGAGGGCTGGACTTGGACCATTGCAATTACCTTACCCCATCTCCTAGGCCCAGTTCAGAGCCCCCTCCCTGTCACCTAGCCCCCGTGGGAATGGCTCAGGCCAGGAGCTACCATCAAACTTGCTCCTTTCTCCCAGGGCCTGGTGACTTCTTAACAGGTTACAGCCCCAAAGACAAACAGATTCTGCCAAGTAAATAGCTGCTCAGCAGTAGGGGTGCTGGAGAAGGCCTGTGAGGAGGTCTGAGCTGCCGGAAGACCCATGTGAGGGGCGGGGGCCCTACTATGCAAAGAACAAACAGCTGTGGGTACCTTGAAGGAAGCAGGTGCACCACCCGCCCCGGGGGGGTGGGTGGGGGTGGGTTTCTGAGATGGTCATTCTCCTTTACCCTGGGATCTGTATTAAGCTGTTCTCCAAGAAAGACAAGTATTACATTCAGGCCCCTGGGGCAGGGGACCAACTCTCTGTGGGACCTGTTTCTTTCATGCAATCTCTGGTCACAGATTCCTTCACTGAGCAGTTTACAAGGCAGTGGCCAAAGGACTTCCCCACTAACTCTGCACCCTAGTTCCCCTGGCTCATAATCATCATTTAGAACACAAAGTTTTGCCAGGCAGAGGGAAGGCCAGATTCAGGGGCTGGTAGAAGTTTGGCTCTTCAGTTATGTAAAAATAATGCTTATATTACCTGGGATTTGCCAAGCCTGACTCATCCATTAAGCTGTGAGGCTCAGGCAATTTCCCTTTCCACTCTGATCTCACTCTTTTCAACACAGAGGAATGATGATGTGATCGAAGACAAACCTGAGCTCTGATCTTTGAAAAGCAATACAAATATGAAGGGATAGAGCCAGTAACACCACTATTTGTCCTCTTTTTTGTCAGTTTCTTTCTTTCCTTTCCTTTCACCTTCCCTCCCTCTCTTTCTTTTTTCAAAAAGTGCTGTGGCCTTAGCCTAGCTCATAGCAACCTCAAACTCCTGGGTTCAAAGGATCCTCCTGCCTGAACCTCCCTAGTATCTGGAACTATAGGCACCCACCACAACATTTGGCTAATTTTTTATATTTTTTGTAGAGATGGGGTCTTGCTCCTGTTCAGGCTGGTCTTGAACTCTGGAGCTCAAGTGATCCTCCTGGCTCTGCCTCCCAGAGCACTAGGTGCTCTGCCTGGCCAGCCTGCCCGACCAGCCAGTTAAGTTTCTTTCAGGCTACCTGACTCCTGCTCAACGCTCTCTGACCACTGTCTAAAATCCCTTACCAAGGTCACCAGGCTGTCTTATGTAAGTATGTGGGATGGGTTCCATGTTTGTTTGCCAGCTGTCTGGAGTGTGGTTCCTACCTCTCAGGCTCCTAGTCCACCTTATAAAAGCTACTTAATCCATAAAAAAAAAAAAAAAACAAACAGAAGGAGCACTCTGAGCACCCAGGCACTATATCTAACCACCATAGGAAACATATAAGATATACTCCCTCTTCTAAATTTAGGATGGCAGGGACCCAAGTGGAAAGAGGTAGGAGTCCCCAACTCTGGCTTATCTGCTTTCCCAATAGGAAAGATGCCTATTGTATCTGCGATGTTGCATTTTTTTTCCTGTGCAATTCCTGCACCTATGCTATGTCTTGGACACACAATAAGGGCCCAAACAATGCTTGCTAGCTAACTTGGCTGTTATTTCTTATGTGTTGAAGAAACAGTGGTGATCAAAAGAGGCATAATATTCTGGTTACTTAAGCATCATTTGAAAGCAATTTCCTTACCTTTTTGGTCACCAGATCCCATTATAACCCCAGGACTAATTTCCCAAACATATAAATATGAGAATCTCAATTTTCCCATCTGCAGAAGAGAAAGACCCAGAGACCGAAAAACACATACCATAGAGCTATTATGGACTATGCAAATCACAGGAGGCTTGAGGGCACAATAAAACTCACTGACACACATGAAAACATTTTTTGTGTGTGTGTGTGTTAATTTAATCATACAAATATTCATTTATACAGTAAGGAAAAACCTCCTCATCTTCATCTCCTCCTAGGCACCATGAGGCCCCAACACAAACACCCACCCAGCTTGCTTACTACGCACACCACTGTCCAGGTGGAAGGGGCAGCCACTGCTGCTCCTGCATTCACCCAGGGAAACAAAGGAAAGGCAAGGTGAGGTGAGGCAGAAGGGGGTGGGTAATTGGCTTGCACTGCTGAGCCTGGCAACTCTGCCATCCTCTCATGCTGGGTCTCAGATTGAATTTGGGGAGGTATTTATTCTCATTCTCCCTTCCCACCAGGGCCACCCTCAGAGCACACTAGATGTTTGATGAGGTTCTATCCAGGCTGGAAGTGCCTTTGATGGGCTTAAGGTTACAGCTAGGCCCTATTTGGGAAGAGAGGGCTGATGATTTCTTGTAGAAAATGCCCCAAATCCAACTGTCTCCACAGCAAAAAGAAAAAAGGCATGCACACATGCACACACATCTAAACATACACACCTCACTCCATGCACACAGATACTTCCCAAGCTTTAGCCTCTCAACTCCCCAATTGAATTTAAACTCTATCACCTAAGGATGGTGTTTGCCTCACCTTCTGGGTGCCAGACACTGGTGGTCCTGCCCAGGGGCAGCCTGTCACTTCATAAAGATTCTAAAAGAAGCAGGGACTATTGGGGCTGAGAGGTAGCCAATACCCCTCCTTAGGCAGGGGAGCAGAGAAGTACTCTAGGCATTGCTCTGAACCCACACCAGCGAGGGGAGAGAATGAAGGGCAGTAATAATCCCTTCTTGGGCCTAGGGAAGCCATGGATCCCACTACCCCTACACCAAGGATTGCGCTTGCTTTGGCCTTCTTGTAAGGAGCTCACCTCTCCAAGGATGTGCACAGAAATGATTTGTTCTTGGGAAGGAAGCCAAGGTGCTTGAGACACTTAACTTGCCATGTCCGATTGCCTATAAGCAGGATAATGTGACAAGGCCAAAAACACCGATAGTGGCCTATGAAGCCCTTGCTAAATCATGGCATGCAGCCCCTACTGGGAAATTGAGAAGGATCACCTAATGTGAGGCAGATGAAGAGCCAGGAAAGCAGGGGTTGTAAATTCTCCCAAGATCCTGCCCAGGGCAGCGGAGATATGCTGCTTTGAAACTGTTAAGTGGGAAGAACTTAAGTGGGTATGCATGGGCTCCAGGGTGGCAGTGTCCCAGGAGATTGGCACCAACAGCACCAAGAGTCCAGGCCTAATAAGGCCCTCAGACAAAAAGCCATCTGGAGTCCTAGGGATAAGTACCCAGCAGGGACTCTGCTAGGGATGGGATACTCACATGTGCATAGAAAATAAGCGCTCCAGAGTAAGCTAGTCTAGCCCCAGACCCAGCTATGCCACCCTTCTCAATAGGCTACCTCTGTTCATCTTCAGGACTTCTCCAGTGGACCAAAGTGCATTCCCACTTTTAATTTTAGGGGTTGGGGAAGTAAAGGGGAATTTCACACAAGCTTAATAAAAACAAGTCTCCAAAGAGGTTGAGTATGAAAAAACAACACACATATTTGGAACTCAGACACCCAGACAGAAACAGACAGGCAGGCAGACCCTCACCCACACCCAGGCTGTATGACCAGTTGCATCACCTGGTCTGCCTGCTTGTCTCACCCCCTCACCCCCCATGGATGGGGGTGTAACAACACACAGGCAACTCTACAGCCACATGCTGGATCCATATCCCTGACTCTCAAACCAACTAAGACTTGAGGGGAGGAAGGGGGTGAGAAGAGAAGAGGGACTTTGCATATTCTTGTATCTTTGGCAGACAGCTGTTCTAGCCTGGTTCAAGCTTCCCAAGGAGATATCCACATCTCAACCTACTCAGAATCCACAAGATGCCAGTGGAGCCACCGGCCTGAGTGAGCAGTCAGCCAATCAGCCTCTACTCCAGCTGGGCTGCCCCTTGACCACCTCCTTACCCATAAACCAGCATCCTGATGGGGAAAGGGGGTGTGTGGGTCCTCTCATTTCTATCTAAATATGGTCTCCAAGATCAAGTAGTCAGTGACTGTGGCCCTTCTCCATGACAAAGTTTTCCTTTGGGGCTGTATTTTTACACCTTAACAGCTCAGCCTCTACTAATAGGCTGTGAAAAAAACCACAAAGGACAATTGAAGAGAAACACAGGGAAAGAAGTTGTGTGACAACAGAGAAGCAGTTGCCGCTGTCATGCTCGCCAGCTGTACACTTGCTGGTGAGCTACACCAACACTCATGTATGTGCACATACTCAGCATGCAGGCACTGTTCCCAGAGCGAATGGGGAGCCACTGCATGAAGAATCCAAAAGAGCAGTTAGCATGGTGGCATTTTTCTCTGCCAAGAGAAACATGGAAGAAAAGCAGTTTGAATTGTTACAAGGGTGTGCAGAAGGACACCTCTCCGCCTCAGAAATCCCACGTCACCCAAGATCTGTCCTTAAAGCTTTCTCTGCTGGCCACACAAGGAAGTATGGTCTTCAGAGAAGTTCTAGTGTTAACAAGCCACAGGGTTGACGGAATACAAATGTCAAAGGTGTAAATCAACAGAAGATTAAAGAGAAAAGAGGAGGAAAGGGGTGATAACTCATTGGCTGATGCCATGAAAAACAAATGGGGTCAGAGACTTCTAGAGTCATATGGCACAGCAGATATACTCCTGTAGCACTGATCCAGAGTCCCCAAATATGCCACACTAGCTTTTAACCCGAATCATCTCTAGAGCAAGCACTATTCTATAAAGAGTATGTTATTCCTCATTTAAAAAAATAAAAGTGGGGGAAGCAGAGAAATAATTAACATGTGCTCAAAACTACCACCTCTCTGTAGGCAAAATAATTTTTGTTTAAAAAGATGGCTTTTCCCCCCCATTTTAAACTTTTCTTCCCTTCCCAGTAACCTAATGACTTGTTAGACTGACGCCTAATAAACAAAACCCAAGGTGGCTGCATGGATTTCTTCTTGGTAGCCTCAACACCATTCCTGTGACTCAGCATTCACACATGCATACTGAGTTTACTCAAAACTAGTCTGTTCTGCTTCTTCCTCTTCTTCCAGGATGGGGGGTCAGAGCCAGGGGTCCGTGCGATGTGGTCTGCAATCCAGAGGAACCCCTTGCCCTCCCCCCCAGAGTCAGGCCTTCTGTCTTTTGTTATTTTTTCTTCTTGCTGATACCCGTTTAAGACTGGCCGAAGGGGTAAGGCCCGTGGAGCCCCTGGAAGAGAGTGAAGACAGTCAGTGATGGTAGATACAGCAGTGTAACTTGACAACCAAACCAAGTGCAAGAATCTATGGTTCCCAATGAGCCAGAAGGAAACCCTAATGCACAGATAAGGACTGAAGGTTGTTGTCCTTGCCATACAAAACACCAGCAGATACAAGATAGTACATTTCAAGTTGTTACATTTCTCACTAAATTACGCAATACAAAGAGAGGGGAGACTGGAGAGATATTCCCCATCTTTCAAAGGGTAGATAAGTCGATGCCAATTTTCCTCCATCTAGGTCACAAAGCATTTTTATTCCCCTTGCAACATCATCTCAACCACTCTGCTAAAGATCCTCATATACCATTTTATGTGTCTTAACTTCAGATGTAGGCTGTTGCTGCTGGCTAACTACCTGTATAGCAACAATAGCACTGTAGTGGAAATAGCTGCTCGAGCACCTGGGTCCCGGGTATGGTACTAGGTGCTTATCCTACATCGTCTTTAATCCTCACCTCTGCCCTAAAGCCAGGTAGGTATTACCACATCCATTTCACTGGTATCCATTTTATTTAAGAGACTGAGAGACTTGTTCGAGGTCACATGGTTAATTAAGAGGTAGCCAAGATTCAAAAACAAGTCTGATCGATCTCAGTGTTCCCCTCCCTGCCCATCTGACCCTCTCGACCCGCCATGTTGCCTCTCCCTTGACACATGAAAAGGTTTATTCCAACTTCCTATGCTGATTGGCAGGGTAGAAGAGGCTTCACAGCCTTAAGAATGAGACACTAAGATATGCCAACATCAAAAGTAGCTACATGAACGTGCTGCACAATCGAACATGTTACCCTTGCCCTCTCCCCATTCTCTCTGTGTTACTTGATAAGATTCAGTCATTGCCAAGACATGGAAGGCAAAGGTAACTGGTAACCAGTCTCACCAGGATCCTATATTCCAAACTAGCCCAGCCAGCAAGGCCCTTGGACCAGAGAAATCAAATGGGCACAAATAACAGGCACCTCAGCCATACCCATGACATATGACCAGAGGGGACTTCTACATTAAGAATCCTAAATCTAGGCTAGACACAACTGAGGATGGGGAGGCACAAGAATGATTGAGATTACATTTTTCATTATTTTGGATGTAGGTAAGGTCAGAATTCTATTGTTTTTTTAAAAATGATACACTTTTTTGAAAAGAAATAAAAGGGCTTGGTTGCAGGTTAGTGATCAGAATCCCTTTTCAGTATGACTTTGTTTGCTAATATCACCCCAGCGCAGTACCTGTACCTTAGCAGATGCCATACAGACATTTGTTGAGTTAATAAATGAAAGAGGGCAGCTATTTCCCCAACTACTACCTGGAGTGTCAGATCCCTCTTAGTAAGGAATATTGGCCTTTCAAAAACCAAGTTTTAAACAGCTGCTTAGTCTTGAGGACACAATCATCTGGGTCATGCCATCCATCTGGTCATCGCCTCTGAGGTCCTAAGAGAGACTGGCTCTCTGGAGGTGGTTAGCTGGAGATGTGTTGTAACCCTTCCAGTTTCCACTCAAGTGGGATGCAGATGTTCAGAACTGAAAGGAGGAGATCTGGGTTCTGATCCTAGCTTTGTACTCACTCTCCAAGTTACCTTGGGTCAAGTCCTTTCTTTTTTTTTTTTTGAGACAGGAGCCTCAAGCTGTCCCCTTGGGTAGAGTGTCATGGCATCATAGCTCATAGCAATCTCCAACTCCTGGGCTCAAGCGAGTCTCCTGCCTCAGCCTCCTGAGTAGCTGGAACCATAGACACCCGCCACAACACCCAGCAATTTTTTGGTTGCAGCCGTCATTGTTGTTTGGTGGGCCCGGGCTGGATTCGAACCTGCCACCTTAGGTGTACGTGGCTAGCGCCTTAGCCACTTGAGCCACAGGCACTGAGCCAAGTCCTTTCCTTTCATAGGACCTTAAATGCTTCTTTAAATCTTTCCAGACTTAAGGTTCTAGGAGTTGACACAAGTGCCTGGCTTAGAGGAGGCTGAAACAATAGTATTTTAAGAAAAATGCTTAGGCCTGAAGTCAATGCTTAGGCCTGAAGTCAAAGCTGCCAGTCAATGGTGAACATGAACAGTGTTTCGCCTTTTGTTTTTCCATAAAAAGTCCCCAAAGACCAGAAGTATGTCTCTAGCTGCATGGTGGTATCACCAAACAAAACATTCTGAAGCATCCCTATGTGTCAGGTGCTGCAGTAGCACTTAACACATTCTCTTTAAAGATATGCTTTACGATCTCCAAGCACAGAGAAGTGAGGTAACCTGATTAACTGCACAGCACTAGCTGAGTCGAACAACTGGTCTTTAAAATGCCAAAATGCCATAAGCCTATCAGCCTTTACTCCAGCATGTCTTCAGCAGGCAAACTAAGGCTCCAACCATCTCAGCAGCCATAGTACGTGTCTCTACCCACTCAACCAAGTGTGGGCTATGGCAGCAAAGGGCTCTTAAGACTCCACTTTGCAGGAAAGAGGGTCACATATATCAGAGACAGAAAGGTAAAGAAGCTTAAAATACACTGCTCTGACTTGGCACTTCCCAACAATAATTATTCATCCACAATGACTCAAGGAAAGCAACAAAAACTTAAGATTCCCTTAAGATTGAGAACCAATACGATGCTTAAAGAAAACTTAGAAAACAAATAGCATTTGGTTTTTGTGAAATATATCCCCCTGTACCCTAAATTTAATAGCTTTCCAGTCCAAAGCTCCAAACACTTCCTGTGGGCCTTTGTAAAGCAAGTTATTTGTTCCTTTTCTGGAATACTCGGGCTAGGGAGTACATGACTTAACCAAGGAGCTGTTGTGGATTCCCATTTAACAGATAAATAAAACAGGTTCTATGCAATTGGCAGAGAGAGACATAAAGACACGTGCATTTTCATATTTCTACTTAAGTGCCCTGACCCTCAGACCATTCAGTGTGGCATCTAACTAGCTTACATCATGGTTATTGTTGATCCTCAATTTACTGAATGAAGTTCGATGCCTTTTGGGAAGAAAAATGCTACCTAATTCCCTTTTACCCAGAGAATGGCACATGGGAGTTGTTGATCTTTAACTGGTACAGAAAGATGGCTCGAGGAATAAGCTGTATTTTCCTTTCCCCCAAAGTAATTACCATCACTTGAAGAAAGGGAGAGGGAGTCAATTCTATTACTTTAAGATCTTGACTTCCCACATGCAGATTGTAGGTATTACAAGCAGATTATAGAACAGAGGCAATGCAACACCATTCCTGTCATAGAGGAAAGGCCTGATAAGAGATTCCAAAAACAACTTGTTCAGAGTGCTCTGTGGCAAGAGGCCAAGCAGGAAGTGCCTTCCCTAACAGTGGGGTGGAGACACATTCAAAAAATGGGAGGCCAATCTACAGGTTCAGGTGGCCAACCTCAACCTTAGCCTAAAAGTTGGGTTTGGTAATAGAGATAATGTTCACTCACTCTCTTCTGGAGCCTAGCAACTCTTCAACTATTTATTATATGTAGGAAAAGATTCCAAATATTTTAACTAACCTGGCATCTAACAAATCTCCCGTAACAGCTGTGCCACTACTAATAAGGAAAACAGATAAGGTTTAGATGCACCAGATAGTACCACAGACCCTGAACTCAACTTTGACTTAGCAAAAACTGATGTCACCATCATGATTACATAAACTCAGTTAATATGCTGCAAAAATCCACCCCTACTCTATGAAGAATCGTGTCCCATCACATAGGGACTAGCAGCAAGCCTGATTTATCCATGCTAATAGAGAGTATATATACTCAAACCTAGAAAAGAATGCCTGTTTTTGACTCCAGGAATAAAGACTAGTTGTCCAAGGCCTATCCAATTTGTACTGAAATGGATGTTCAAAGGTTAGATTGCTTCTGTTCAGGAACATAGGGGCTGAGGTGTTGTAGTCTTCCCACCTTTTCACTAACTAAATGTCATAGCTGTGAGCACTGAGATCTAAGCTGAACTTGGCTAAACAGTACAAAGTACAGAGATGCCAGTTAAGACAGCGATGCCTCCCTGCTCACCAGTATGGGGGGGAAGATATCTTTGCCTCAAAGCTGAATGATTACAGTAGTTGGGCCAGGTTCTGAACTGCATTTCCAAAATGCAATTACACCTATGGCAGCTGTTATTTGGTTGATTTCCTAAGATATTTTTCACAGAAAATAGTCGTAGACATAAAAGCTCAGTCCCACCCATCATCTCCTAAAAGGATAATTTAAGATGTAATAATTATAATCCCATCCTCAAAGCAAACTTGAAAATAACACCTACCTCTCTGATTTGTTTCTCATGACAGTTTACAGTTGCCCCTGTGGAATAGCAAGAGTCAATCCTAGCCAGTGATTTGGTTTCACTGATCTTGTGTGATGGTATACCTGCAATATCTTAAGAGTTCTTTCTAAAATTATATTGAAGTCAAAATTACCTTTTCAAAAAGGAGTATAAAAAATTGTCATGGATAGAAAATATTAACTGTATGCCAAAGTACTAAAAAAGGGCACTATTAAGAGTTCTGCTTCAGCTAGTTTTTTTTTTTTTTTTTGGAGACAGAGCCTTAAGCTGTCACCCTGAGTAGAGTGCTGTGGCATCACAGCTCACAGCAACCTCCAACTCTTGGGCTTAAGCTATTCTCTTGCCTCAGCCTCCCAAGTAGCTGGGAATACAGGCACCCACCATAATGCCTGGCTATTTTTTGGTTGTAGTTGTCATTGTTGTTTGGTAGGCCTGGGCTGGATTCGAACCTGCCAGCTCCCGTGTATGTGGTTGGCGCCTTAGCCGCTTGAGCTACAGGTGCAGAACCTATTTTGTTTCTATTTATTTATTTTTGGAGACAGAGTCTCACTAGGTTGGTTGCCCTCGGCAGAGTGCTGTGACGTCACAGCTCAAAGCAACCTCAAACTCTTGGGCTTAATGGATTCTCTTGCCTTAGCCTTCCAACTAGCTGGGACTACAAGCACCTGCCACA